CAGCAATCTGTCATCCAGTTTACAGATAGGTGAGGCTGGGGGCTCTGAATTTTTGTGAGGCTGACCCATCTGGGAAGGCTCCAGTTTCTGGGTTTGTATCTTGGGACTTCTCTGAGTCTTTTAGGCATGCGTGTGCCCGTGATGTGGGATCGGCTGAGGTTGGAGGCAGATCGCGGCTTTAAGACCCTATTGGGGGTGCTGTATCTTTTTCTCTATGTCTGTCTATTTCATTCATGGAAGAAAGAAAGAAAGAAAGAAACCTTTCGTCAAAAGAATACAGTGACTCAGCACTGGTTTCTTTCTTGTCTTTTTATAATTTGCCAGAGGGCCTATGTGCCAGAGAGAGACAGAGAGAGGGGAAGTGAGAGAAAATATCCCATCCCCATATGGTATGGTCATGCCGAAATCCCTTTTTCTCCGTTTTCCCGTTTTTTGGCAATTTTGAGCACGCATGTGTAATGCACCCAGTGCATTTCAAGTCACCTGTCCAATTCTCCAATTGCATAGTCAGTCATGTGGGATCCAGCCGTCCTGCCCTCCAATCTACTGGCTGGCCCTGCACTGGTTTCTCTAACTCTTTTTCTTTGACTCCAGAATCCCTGAGGCTGGAAGGGGCCTCCAGATGCCTCCTGGCCATCTTCTGATCTCCAGGCAAAACTGCCTCCCATGCATGGAGAGGTCTTGAGGACATCTTTTCTTGTCATTCTTTTCAGTGAGGGAGTCTGGATCTTGCAGGTGAAGACACAAAGGGTTGACCTTGACTTGCGGTCAGGGCGGTTTCAGTGCCTGGAAGTGCAGGTGACAAAAGGAATCCGGGCAGGGACTATTTGGGGGAACACCAGCTAGAATAACTCCCATTCCTCCCCAACAGATTCGCCCCTGCCCACTGACGCCAAACGCGGATGACAGCCTGAAAGCAATTTGTCCGGTCTGTGAGTAATGTCTAGTAACTAAATGCTAATTAATTTGCTGTTGCATTTGAGTTAATTTATGGGGTGTTCTCTTCAAGTAAATTTTAATTAAGAAGAGTAAAACAAATGACAATGTAATTTCCAAAAAATTAATTTTCAGTAAACATAAGCCATTGTTTTTCTTTGTATCAATAATAAAAGTAAAACTGGAGCCTCCCTAACGTCCCCTCCCCCCCACACCCTCTCTTCTTCTGAAGATGAAGTCTGAGCCTAAGCCAGGCTCTTGCACTGGGAAAGGAAGGCAGCCATGCAAATTAGCAGCTAGGCAGGGCCAAAAGAAATGGGCAGGGAGCCTGAGAGACATCGGGTTCCAGCCTCCAAGACGCGCAGCAATTGCTACTTCTTTGGTGTTCCTTGGGTATAATTGTCATCCAGCTCGGCACATTTAGAGGCTTAGGAGGGGGAAAATGTGCATCGTACTTGATGCTGGTAGGAATACAAAATGGAGGAGGAGGAGATAAGGACATTTTATTATTTATTATTTATTTATGTATTCTTAGGCTTTTGCCTTAGGGTGGCCCCGAGAGAAACAAAGAGAAAGTGAGAAGTCATCCCCCAGGGGATGTTGTTATTTATTTATTTATTCTTAGGTTTTTGCCATACAGTGTGTGCACTTGCTCATGAGAAACAGAAAGAAGGAAAGTGAGAAGTCATTCCCCCCGCCTCCCCCATGGGGACGGCCACCCCACAATTCCCTCTCCTCCATTTTCCTCTGGGAACTTTGGGTACTGAAGCACGCACACTCAGCCTAATTTTTCAAGCCACCTCATCCAGGACTAGAACTGCCATTGGCCATATGGGAATCCAACACTTAACCTCCACACCACCTGCTAGCTTTATTTATTTATTTTTAATTAACCAAATGGCATAATCAAATAGGAAGAACCGAGGAGAGAATGGGGTGGGGGGGTGGTAGTCAGGCATCTGCTTTGTCCAGCTTTGCCAAGAGCTGTGCTGGCAAGTTTTATATAGCTTCTCTCATTCATCAAACAATTCTCGGAGGAAGGTGCTTACTAACAGCTTCCATAGTACAGATGAGACAACTGAGGGCTTTGGAGCCGGCCAGAGCCCTCCGATCGGTAAGTCGGATTTGACACCTGCTTTGTGCCTACAAGCGTTCCACCTTGTCGTGCCGTCTCCTCAGCTACACATGGAACAAAACGATTTTTGAAATCAGTTTGCAAGGCTGTGCTGGGTCTGGTGCCCAGAGCTCGCTGCCGTTGCTGTTCCATGTCTGGCCTGTCTGAGAGTTAGGAGTTGAGATGGGGAGGGTGGGCACCTGCAGTCGGAAGGCTAAGATCTGGGGAGGCCAGTCTGAGACCTACCCCAGAGGGCAGTTTCCTCTCATTTCTTTCCCCTCTGCCCGCCCGTCCCAGTCGGTGCCACAGTGAACGTGTCTAAGCTGAGCTTCCTCACTCAGGAGAGTGAAGAGAAGATCCAACCTGGGTGCTGCTGGGCAGAGGTCAGGGGGTTCGGCCTGGGAGACGGAGGCTCGTTCTGGTCTCAGGACACAGAAGCTGACTTTGGGGCCACTGTTTCTTGGAACCTTGCTTGTCCCGCTGCAGTCACTGGGGGCGCCTATGAAAGTATGGATTTGTCTGGGTTTCTCTGTTTAATCCCGAATCTGTCAGGCCTTGTTAAATTTGATGGGGCCTGAAAGGTCTGGTGTTAAGCAAATACTCGGTGACCAGAGTCTTTGATGAGAATCAAACTGAAGCTTAATCCTGAGGTAATGGCTTTTGCCACCGTCCCAGGAGGCTGGGGCCAGGTGAGGGAGCTGGAATCGGGGGCGCCTACAGCAGAGCTCACGTGAGTGGGCAGTGGGAGAAGGGGAGAGAGGAGGCCTGGCTGCTCCCTCCACGGGAGTTCCAGAAGACTCTAGGGTCTCCTGTCCCTGGTGTAAAGGCTGTGGGAACTGCGAACCACTTGGGGAGTGCATTCTGCCAGAACTGGGGCAAGAGGAAGAGAGGAAGAATCCTCTGGTCCCTGTTTATTCAAGTGGCTTTGAATACAGGAAGAGAACTAAGGAAGGAAAAAATGGGGATTAAAAAGATTGGGCAAGATTCTCAGGTCGGCAGCTCAGGTTCCCCTCTGCATTGGTCTGGGCTCCAAGAAGCAGAATTGTCCAAGTAGGGGTGCGGCTGGGGGCTGCCTGGGGTGCCCTCTGTCTCCCCTTGGATAGCAGGCTGGGGGGAGACAGGACTCCACTCACCTCCAGACTGCATGTAGAGTCCTCCTGCCAGCCAGGGATGCTGGACACCCCAGGGGTGCAGTGGGGCGGGGACCTTGGCGGACCAGGCTGGGACAGTGAGGCAGAGTGCAGAGGCGATGGCCACACGGAGCAGCCCTCTGTGACAAATAGGGCTGATCACGCGTCTCCGGCTGCTCTCTGGAGAACACCGCTGTGCGCCTCGTCAAGGTACCTGATTAAACATTCATGGGGAAAAAATAAATAAAATAAACATTTTGCAAAGAGATGCTTAAGCAATCAGGCGCTTCAGGGGGTGGGTTACTGTGGTGCAGTAACCACATGGCCCAGGGGTAATCGGCATTTAATGTCGCCATCACCTCCTGGGTCCCACATGGAGGTGTTGATGCTGAATCTGCCTCCCCAGAGGCCCCACCCGTCAGGAGGAAACTGGGATCTCCCAGACATTTACACTTAGCTGTTTATTCTCTTCTCTTTCTCGGCCTTCACTTTGCATTTTTGCATCAAACATAACCTGTGCAGGAGGGAGGAGCAGGCTCTCTATGGAGGGCCCAGATTTGCGCTAGGGAAGCAGATCCTGACTCCTACCAGCTGTGGGCTTTCTGAAGCATATTAGAGTCTGAGACAGAGGCCCGTGCTGCCTCGTCCTTCCTTTGGTCACTCAGCGAGTGTTTATGGAGTGGTGACAGAGGGTGTGCATCAGTGTGTGTGTATGGGTGTGGTCCCACCTGCTCAGAACTGGCAAGTTCTCTGGGGCCAGAGGTAGTGTGGTGGTTAGGGCACTAGACTCTCACATAGCTGACTGTATCACGCGTCTCCGGCTGCTCTCTGGAGAACACCGCTGTGCGCCTCGTCAAGGTACCTGATTAAACATTCATGGGGAAAAAATAAATAAAATAAACATTTTGCAAAGAGATGCTTAAGCAATCAGGCGCTTCAGGGGGTGGGTTACTGTGGTGCAGTAACCACATGGCCCAGGGGTAATCGGCATTTAATGTCGCCATCACCTCCTGGGTCCCACATGGAGGTGTTGATGCTGAATCTGCCTCCCCAGAGGCCCCACCCGTCAGGAGGAAACTGGGATCTCCCAGACATTTACACTTAGCTGTTTATTCTCTTCTCTTTCTCGGCCTTCACTTTGCATTTTTGCATCAAACATAACCTGTGCAGGAGGGAGGAGCAGGCTCTCTATGGAGGGCCCAGATTTGCGCTAGGGAAGCAGATCCTGACTCCTACCAGCTGTGGGCTTTCTGAAGCATATTAGAGTCTGAGACAGAGGCCCGTGCTGCCTCGTCCTTCCTTTGGTCACTCAGCGAGTGTTTATGGAGTGGTGACAGAGGGTGTGCATCAGTGTGTGTGTATGGGTGTGGTCCCACCTGCTCAGAACTGGCAAGTTCTCTGGGGCCAGAGGTAGTGTGGTGGTTAGGGCACTAGACTCTCACATAGCTGACTGTGGTTCGAGTCCCAGACCTGGTAACTTGCTTTTCCTCTTTCCTTCTCTCTCTTGTCAAATTAAAAATAGTAAATATAAATAAAATAATTATATTAAAAAAAAAGAACTGACTGATTCTCACAGGGATGTTAAGAATAAACAGAAAATGAGGGTGACAGTGATGGTAGACACCTACTACGTGTCAGACATGTTACACTTTACATAAACTATCGATACCTCGCATAATTTTTGTAATATCTCTACGAGGAAGATACTGGTAGCCCATTTTACAGATGAGAACAGCCAGGCTCTGACAGTTAAGTAACTTGTCCAAAGATATAGAGGGTGGGGATTTGAACCCACATACTTTGACTCCAGGTTTGAGTTTCGCAGTTAGCTACCACTGAAAACTAAAAATAGGGTGAGTTATTTGAGTTTCTTATTGTGGTATAGGCAGCCAAGGGAGGTTTCCAGAGGAGGTGACATCTTAGCTGAGTAGTTGGAGACACTGGACTTGTCCAGCTCGAAGGCGACAAGTTGGAGGGCGATGCACACAATTTATACCCCAGGCATCCTCCCATCCTCAGGTGAGATGTTCCAGGCTCAGTTCCTCTCCTTAGCTCATGCAAGCAGAAATTAAAGCCTATTGACCACGACCAGGGGCTCCCCTTTCTGTGGGCCTTGCAGAGGCAGCTGGGCAGCCACACCATCAGTACCACAGGCATCACAGGAGGAGGGATGCCAGCGCCCAGACAGCTGTCCAGCTGTCTGACCGGTGTGCTGATTAAAGAAGTGAGTCCAGGGTTTGCATCATGAGCTTTCTCCTCACTGAGCTCTCCTGAAGAGTAGGGGCTGATCTGAATGTATCCGTTTCTGTGACAGAAAAACAAGCTCTTCAGACCAGAAGAGTTTTCGTTGCAAATTAAAGTAATTCATTGCGCATCTGTAGTCAAATACACACCTGCACCCCTTTATTAATGCAGGCTCTGTTTTAATTGGCTTTCTCAATAGCTAATTACCTGTCAGGTAAAGGGTTACTCATTGCATGAAGGAGTAACCCGTGGGGGCGTGGGTAAGTCCAGGGCCATAGCACTGCAGGCAAATCATCACCTGGCATGGGCCACGAGACCGTGCTGGATTTCCAATGGACTGGGGAGGTGGGCACCCTGGGGAGACTGGAATGTATTGGGAAGTTAAATGGAAAGTCCAAGATATTCCTTCATTGACCCATTCATCCATCCAGTGGGCCTTTATAGATACCCTTCCTGAGCCAGTCAGGAGCAGGGTTTGTTACAAGTCAGGGTGGCAGGTGTCTGGCAT